TGGGCTCTTTTCCCAAAAAAAAATGACCAAATCAATGTATTTGAGAAAATTGTATATCCTGCCCAGGACTTATTGAGGGATGTCACACACTTAATATTTAGAAAAACATGGCAGTAAGTGGTGGGAACAAGAGCAAACAGAAGGAGTGCAGTTAGCTGCATGACAGAAGATGCTGACGTCCTGCTAAAGCTGTGCATAAATAGCCTATGAAAAATAACAGGGGAAAAATGATACCAAATGATGAATAACTCTTCATCCATAAGAATTTTAAAATATATTTTATTAAAGTCGGAGGTAATGGAACACTTTTAAAATACTGAAAAGAACTCTCAGAATTCAGATAAAGATGTTTCAGATAAATTAAAAATGAGGGGAATGTTTTACAAAAAGACCAAACTGCAAGGTATACTAAATCATGCTCTTCTGACTGAAGGGAAATGATACCAGATGCTAAATTGCATCTACAGGAAGATAAAAAGAGCACCAGAAAAAGTAAGTATGTGGGAAAATCAAAGACAACTGACTATAATTATGTAGAAGTAAATATATGTCAGTAGCACAAAGAAGAGGAGAAAAATGGAATTACGCAGCTATAAAGGTCTTAGAGTATGTGAGGTGGTATAATATTAATTTTGAATAGGTCACGATAAATTTAGGAAGAATTTTGTAGGATAACTACAAAATAATGCTAGTAAGAGATGTTAGTCATGTAGTGGTGAGCATAGCTTCCTTCCAAAATAATGCTAGTGAAAATAATACAAAAGTGTAATTAAAACATTAAGTATTAAAAATATTTATTTGACCCTCAAAAACAGGAAGATAAAGGAAAACAGAAGCAAAAAAAAAAAAAAAGTTGGAGCAAATCACTCAATAAGATTTACTTTAAACCCAAACATATCAGTAACTACATTTAATATAAATGGTCTGATCAGCCTAATTATTAGGCAAAAATTGTCATGTGTGTGTGAATATGTATATGCACACAAGACTCAATTATGTCCAGTCAATAGGAGATTCATTTTAAGTATTAAAATACAGATAAGAGGGCCTCCCCGGTGGCGCAGCGATTGAACGCTGGGTTGCGAAGCTGCCTGCTGCCTCTGCAGCACCAGTTCGATCCCTGTTCGCCTGGCGAGGGTCCCACATGGCGCGCAGACCTCTCCTGCCGCCCGCTGCTGCTCCCCTCAGCAGTGTACTTTGTCACTCTGCCTGTTCTACTCTCCACTCTGGCTCTGGTGAATTCTCTCACCCTCCCAACTTCTGACTGTACCCAGTGCTTGTATAAATAAATAAATTTAAAAAAAAAAGGTTTAAAAAAATATACAGATAAGAGAAATCAAATGATGGAAAAAAGATATACAAACATTAAGCATTGGAATGCTGGACATGACTAGAGTCCATATCAATATCAAAGCGACTTGAGATATGTAGGGACATTTTATCATGATAAAAGATAAGTCATCAGGTTTACCCTCTAGTCCCAACAACATATGTCTAATAACAGTTTGAATGTGGATGGTATCAATAAAAATGTTAAAAATACACGAAGGAAAAACTAATACAATTAAAAAGAAACGAAACAAATATGCAATTACAGTTGGAAATTTTAATATTTCCTCTATCTACAATGGATAGATATTAGAAGAAAAATGGGCCAGCAGTGAGTCTCCCTGGTGGCTCAATGGTTAAAGACACAGCACTATCCAGCTGTCTCCAGTCACTGCAACATGAGTTCAATCCCTCGCCAGGGAGCTGACCCACATGGCACAGTAGACCTCGCCTGTCTCACCCACTGCTTCCCTCAGTAGTGTATTTCAGTACATCTGCCTGTTCTGCTCCCCACTCTGTCTCTGGTGAATCCTCACACCCCCTGCTTCTCTGGCCTACACCCAAGTTCTTGTATGCATACATAAATCTTTAAAAAATATTTCAGGAAGGATGACAAAAATTGAAATACTGTCATCAACTTACTTGTTCTGATCAAAAAATTGAAAAGCACCATTTGTAACAACTATTGAATACATGCTGTTTTTAAGTGCACTTGGGATGATTATGAAGGCAAACCATATGTTGAACCATGGAACAAGTATCGATATTTTTTTAAAAGATTGCAATCTTGCAAATAATATTTTACAGTCCAAGTAGAATTAAATCGGTATCAATAACAATTAGATATCAAGAAAAGTTTAAAATATTCATAAGTTCCACACATAAGTAATCCAAAGTTTCAAAGAAGAAATCATCAGAAAATATATCAAAGTAAATTATAAACATGACATATCAATGGTTGTGGGATATAGCTAAAATAGTAAAGGGAAATTTATAGTTTTAATTGCTGATATTAAAAAGGCTTAAACCCTGGAATCTAGTTCCATATTAAAACACTCTGTAAAGAACAAATAATTGAATAAGTAAGGACAAAATTAAAATGTGGTTCTTTGAAAGGTTTAAATAGAATTGCTATAGCTTGTAGGAAGATTAATCAAGAAAAAGAAGACAACTAAATATCAGAAATGACAGAAGTAATATTACAGATCCTATAGATATTAAAAAGGATTTAATGAAGAAATTGTGGGAAACTTTATGCCAAAAATATGACTTAAATGATCTAAACATACTCCTTTTGAAACACAATTTCCCAAAACTAACTTAGGAAGAAATAGAAAAATCTGACTATCTTTAACTCTATTAAAGATACTTAATTCATAATCAAATAGCTTCCCCCAAAAAAGAAGTTCCAACTGTAGCAAACATTTAAGGAAAAAGTAATACTGATGTTATATGAACTCTTAATACAGGAGGAGGGAATAGTGAACAATTCATTTTATGAGTCCAGAATCATGCAGCTACTAAAACCAAAGCTATTGTGAGATCATTAAAATGCTGACCAATATCACTTATAAGCAGGAAACAAAACCCCTCAATTTAATATTTACATATAAAAAAGTGTATGAAAAGGATTATACCATTTTGGTTTACTCCAGGAATGTCTGGCCACTTTAACATTTGAAAATCAATCAATGTAATTAATCACATAAACAGAATACATGGGGAAAAGTTATCAAATCATGTCCATAGATACAGAATGAATTTTTTTATAATGCACCAAGCTAGGAATGAATGGAAGCTTCTTCAATTCCATAAAGACTGGTTTTGAAAACCTACAGGTAACATCATACTCAGTGGTGACATTCTGAATGCTTTCTCCCCAAGATCATATATGAAGCAAGGATAAAGGATGTATACACTTACCACTTTTATTCAGTATTGTACTGGAGGTTAGTGCAATGAGAAAAGAAAAATAAATAAAAAGCGTGAGCATGCACAGGTGTATGCATGCATGTGTGTGTGTGTGTGTGTGTGTGTGTGTATGAGTAGATACAAAGGAGTAAAGTGGTCTGTATTCACAATTGCATTTATCGTCTATATGGAAATCCTAACAAAAAGCAACTACTACATATGACAATTAGCGAAAATTAGCAAAGTCAATATACAAAATAAAATCATAAAAAATGAATTGTGTTTCTACTTGCCTGCAACAAATAATTAGGAAAATGAAATAAAAACATCACATTTACATTTGACTTAAAATAGAAAATATTTGGGGACACATTTAACCAAATATATGCACAATTTATACACAAAAATGACAAGCAGCAGTTAAAGTTAAGAGAAAGATGACCTAGATAAATGGAGAGATGTGTCATGTCTATGGTTTGGATATATTGCTAGAGATATGATCATTTCCCTTAAAATCACATATAGATTCATTATCATCGTATCAAAAGCACAACAGCATTATATTTTTAGAAATTGACAGATGATTCTAAAATTTAATAGAAATGCAAAGACCTATAGAACCCTAAACAAACCTGAACACAAAAGCACAGTCGGAGGATTTAACTGCCTGATTTTTAGATTTACTATAAAGTTGCAGCTATTAAGACAGTACAAAACTGTGTAAAAATGAAAAGGAAACTATGTCTGTGGAACAGAGCAGTGTCCAGATAGCCCCCACAGCCAGTTGTTTATGAAAGGTATTTAATCATTTCAGAGGGGAAAAAATATCTTTTCAGCAGAGAATGCTGGATCAACTAACTATCCCTATAGAAAAAAAACTGGCACGTCATCATACTAATATACACAAATTAATTTATGATGGATCATAAACTTAAAATATTAAAGCTAAAACTATGAAGTTTGTAGTAGAAAATGTAGTGAAATGTCGTCATGCCTTTACAGTAAGCAAAGATTTCTTTAAGCAAATGAAAAAGCATTAATAAGATAAAATTCATCAAAATTTAAATCTGCTTGTAAAAAAATGAGCAAGGAAATCCACAGATTGGGAGAAAATATTCAAAATAATTTGATAGCATAAGGACATAATTTAGAATTATTATGAGTAATGAAAAGACAAATTTTAAAAATAAGGAAAAGCCATGAAAAGAACTACACAAGACTTGGAACATGATTCATTATCAGAACAACACAAATTAAAACTGCATTAAGCTACCTCTGAACACCCACTAGAATAGTTAATATCAGAAAGACCTTCACCTACATGTGTTGGTAAAGATGTGAAGCAACTGAAACTGATACTTACATGGGGCGGCGGGTGTAAAATAGTAAAACTAATTGAGAAAATATGTTTGAAGTTTCTTTTAAAGTTAATCATACATCTACCCTGTGACCCAGCAGTTTGACTTTGAGGTATTTACTCAAGAGATGTCAAAACATACATCCACAAAAGGACTTTACCAGGTCAAGGAACGCTCCCCTCACCTGCTGTTAATGTTGGTGGCTGATGGCTCACAGCTGCTGCCTCTCCAGAGAATTGGCCTCAATTAATAGGTGCCACCTCATTCAAGAAGTTATACTCCCACCCTCAGAAGGATCCACACAACTGATGACTGATACAAAGTGCAGGAGGCCAGCCTCCTTGCTTCAAGAGTAATCTAAGACTTGACCTCAGACCTCATTTTACCCTTCCTCTCTCATAGGTTTTTCCTGAGAGCACTCCTGAAATAAATTAACTCCACCAGAATCCAGGTAACAGGGTCTGATTCTAGGGGCCCTAACATGGGGATGAGAGGTGACAATCCTGAGAATTTCTTGTATAGTTCTTTATAGAAGCTTTATTTGTATTTTTTTTTCTAAAAATTTTTATTTATTTATGCATACAAGAGCTGGGTACAGGCCAGCGATGTGGGAGGGTGAGAGGATTCGCCAGAGACAGAGTGGGGAGTAGAACAGGCAGATTAACTGAAATACACTGCTGAGGGGAGCAGCGGGCGAGTCAGGAGAGGTTGGCTGCTCCATATGGGTTTTTCCCTGGCCGACTGGGGATCTAACTCATGCTGCCGAGGCTGCGGATTGCTTCACAGTGTGGTGCTTAACCCCTTGCACCACCAGGGAGGCCCAAGCTTTATTTGTATTAACGAAAAACTGAAAGAAGAAAACCAAAAGCCTGGAAGGGGAAACCCACCAATACCAATTTGCAATGGATATAGAAACATCGGTACATCTTAGAATTGATTTGTACCACAGAACTGAACTGAGAGGAATGGAATGGAGCAGAATAGAATTTTATCCATAGAACTTAATACCATTAATAATTAATGCATGAACTGATACAGGGAACAAAATGTGTGATTCTCAAAGACAAAAATACTGCAACAAAGCAGACTTATTTCTTAACGATTCAAGGTTAGTCAACAGTTGGGACATGCATCAATTTAATCTCCAATGAGAATAGTAATGATCATCTCAATGGTTTCCATACCCATTAGTAATTAGAAAGGTACTGATAAAATAAGAGATTATATAAAATTCTCTCTCCTTCCCTCCTGATGAACACATGCTATATTAAAGTATAGTACACATGTTCTATAATTGTGTTTGTGGATTGGCCAAATTTTCAACTTTTTCTTGAGTAAGTTTTCATAATTTTTTTTTCACAAGTCTTTCATTCAGATTTATTTTAGTATGGGTCTTTTCTGTGGGGGATTTACTTTTACTTTTTGAATGAATGAGTTCTTTTTAATCACTATTTTTTTTTGAAAATGCATTCTTTTTTTTTTAAGACTTATTTATTTATTTATACAAGCACTGGGGTAGAGTCAGAGCACGGGAGGATAAGCGGATTCACCAGAGCCAGAGTGGGAAAAGAACAGGCAGACTGACGAAGTACACTACTGAGGGGAGCAGCAGGTGGCAGGAGAGGTCTGCGCGCCATGTGGAATCCTCACCTGGGGATCGAACCAGCGCTACAGAGGATGCGGGCAGCCTCGCAACCCAGCGCTCAACCGCTGCGCCACCAGGGAGGCCCTTAATCACTATTTTTTAAAGAATAGCATTCTTCTTGCTTAAATTATAATCTTTAATTTTTTTTAAAGATTTATTTATTTTTATACAAGAACCGGGGTATAGGCCAGATGCACAGGAGGGTGAGAGGATTTACTGGAGACAGAACACAGGGAATAGAACAGGCAGACTAGCGAAATACACTGCTGAGGGGAGCAATGGGCAAGGCAGGAGAGGTCTGCTTCGCCATGTGGGATTCTCGCCGGGATCGAACCCGCACTGCAGAGCTGCGGACAGCTTCAGAGTGCAGTGCCCAACCGCCTGCGCCACCAGGGAGGCTCTAATCTTTAAAATTTTCTCAATGTTTTTCCTGTGGTTGCCTTCCATTTTTCAATTTCTTTTTTTCTATTTTTATTTTTGATTGGAAATAGCACAATTTTTTCTATTTTACTTTTTTTAAAAAAAGAACTGAATTTTTTTAAAATAAATTTTATTTTTATATTCCCCATACAATTGCAACCCCCTTATTTTGACCCCAATCCCTCCCCTCCCCACCCCCTACCCCCCATAGAGTGTCTCTGGTTCATAGTTGTTTGTTGACTTTGATTTTCACTTTCTTATTCATTTTCCTGGTCCCTTATTTAAGTTTTCTAGATTCCTGCTATGAGGGAGACCATCCAGTATTTTTCTTTTTCTTTCTGGCTTATTTCGCTGAGCATGCTCCCTTCCAGCGCCATCCATGTTGCTGCAAATTGCATGTGTTTATCTTTTTTGAATGCTGAGTAATATTCCATGGTGTATATGTACCACATCTTCTTGATCCAGTCATCTATTTTTGGGCATTTGGGTTGTTTCCAAAGCTTAGCTATTGTAAACAGTGCTGCTATAAACATAGGGGTGCAGGTGCTCTTTGGAATTGATGTTTCTGTGTCCTTTGGGTAAATACCTAGGAGTGGAATTGCTGGATCATATGGAAGCTCTATGTTTAGTAGGTCCAGAAATCTCCACACAGCTCTCCATAGTGGTTGGACCAGTTTGCACTCCCACCAACAGTGCAGGAGAGTTCCTTTTTCTCCACATCCTCGCCAACATTTGTTGTTGCTAGTTTTTTTAATATGTGCCATTCTCACTGGTGTAAGATGGTATCGCATGGTAGTTTTGATTTGCATTTCCCTGATTACAAGTGATGTTGAACATTTTTTCATATGCCTGTTGGCCATTTGCATTTCCTCTTCAGAGAAGTTTCTTTCTAGCTCCTCTGCCCATTTTTTGACAGGATTATTTTCTTTGTTGTTGAGTCTCATCAGCTCTTTGCAGATTTTTGTGATCAGTCCTTTATCATTAGTGTTGTGTGCAAAAATGTTCTCCCAGTCGGTGGGGTTTCTCTTTGTTTTTGTTATTGTCTCTTTTGCTGTGCAGGAGCTCTTTAATTTGATGTAGTCCCAGCTGTTGATCTTTGCCTGCCAAAGCAAAGAACTGAATCTTGATTGATTCAATTATTTTCTTGTTTAGAATTAGTTTTCTTTTTTTTTCTTTTTAAAGATTTATTTATTTATTTATTCAAGCACTGGGTACAGTCAGAGTGCGGGAGGGTGAGAGAATTCACCAGAGCCAGAGCAGGGAGCAGAGCAGGCAGAAGGACCGAAGTACACTGCTGAGGGGAGCAGCGGCAGCAGGAGAGGTCTGCGCGCCATGCGGGAACCTCCTCTAGTGGCTGGGCAGCAGCTGGGGCTCAAACTGGCGCTGCAGAGGCTGCGGGCAGCTTTACAACCTAGCGCTCAACCACTGTGCCACCAGGGAGGCCCTAGAATTAGTTTTCTGATTTTGTATTTATAAATTTCCTTTTCCTGACTTGTGTGATTAGTTTCATTGCCCAGGTGAACAGCATCCTAGTTACTTAAATGGTTAGTTTTCTTACTATTTTTTGAAATGAAAGCATTAAGTCTTTACTTTTCTCATACCATTTTGACTGAATTCTAAGGTCATAATATGTAATGTTCTCAGTTTTGTTTGCATTAACTTGTTTTGTAATAGAAACCATTAATATCATTTTGTACAATATTTAAAGGACAGTGTTCTTGTCTTGCCCTCCCAAATCCTAGGTATTTGGGATTTTGTTGCTATTCTGGTGGTAAGTTTGTCAATTTCTAGTTTTATTACATGCTAACCACGTTAGGTAGCCTGTACATTCTTTCCTTTTTAGAAATTATTTTTTTTTGTATTGTAGATGCTGATCAATATAAAAATTCTTCATGGGGCTTTGTAAAGAATATGTATTCTCCAGTAGTTGAAAAATTGACATATCTAATAAATCAACCTATTTCTTTTATTATCCAATTATGTATGTTATGTCTACTTCACCAAATATGCTGTGTTAAAATCATCAACATATTTCTCTTAATGTTGTCTGCAGTTACTAGACTTTTACTTTAAATATTGTGAAGACATTTTACTTGACTAGAAAAAGTTTCATCCAATTGTGGTTGATAATTACTTTTATTGAGGTTGATAATTATCCTCAAACTGAAATGAATTATTTTCCCTTTAATGTATTTTGCCTTGCATGTTATGTACCTAATGCTAATGCTGTCACTTTTTCTCTTTTTTCTCAAACTCACTAACATTTAGCCTAATATGTTCTTCTCCATTACATATACTGTATATTTAAGTATACCCAAAGCAAAGTGTATGTGCGCATGTGTGTGTATCCCAATGTAATATTTGTTTCACAGCTGCAAGCCAGATAGGTCATTTTAAACTCTAATCTGGGTCACTCAGAGTATCCCAATTTCAGGTTCCAGAAGATTTTATTGCATTTATCTATGACCCTGGTATGTGATCCAGCAGGAGACTGCTTTTATTTATTTGTTTGTTTGTTTGTTTTTTATGCTATTGGAAAGTATGGATTTGGGTCCAGGATATTTTGCTATGAGGTCTGCAGAGATACTTTGGTTTTATTCAGCTATAGAATAGGGATAGAACCCCATCCTACCACCATAGGGATATTCTGGTGCTCACATGCTGGAATTTGCATATGGAAAGCTGATGTCGCAAATTCAATCCCCTGCCACTGTATCACAGGATGATGCAGCAGTTAAGGAAATAGCCTCTCACTGATTACCAGGAGATAGTTCTCAGCAATAATCTTCAGCAGGTACATACTTGGAAGATTGCTTAATCCCTGTGCCTCAGTTTCCTGGGAAAGAGATATTATCATTTCCTGCCTTAAAGTTGTGTTGCAAGAATAAAACAACATTTCTCTGTGCCTGGCATAGAGCAAATGCAATTAAATAGATCCTGTTAGCCCAGAGCTGTTATCCAGTTCGGTAGAATTCCTGCATCTACTGAATATGGACTTTCAGAAAGACCTTATTCTTTGATCTTCCCACACCGACTTGAAAAAACGCCACGAAACTGCCCTCAATCCCTTATGAAATGTATGTCCCCACAGGCTTCACCTCATTTTCTGTTCTATGTAGGCATCCTACAGCTTGTTTATAATCATGGATAGTGGTATTTTAAAACTAGAAGGGATATTTATCCAACCCAAATCCATCTTTTTGTAGAGAAGGAAATTGAGCTAGAAAGTTCAGACAACTTGACATAGAACTAACTTGATGCTGGAGCCAGGCCTTCTCACCCTGAGGCCAGTGTTTTTTCCACAAAGCTTGACATGTTCCAATAATATTCACAGGATTATAATGCCCTTTCATGTAGAAAATACTGGCCTGCACCCCCTTTCTCACAACTTCTGGAAAGTCCCTAAGGTTTCTGAAAATTCCTAAGAGCTTCAATTCCTATTTCTTCATCAGTTGACTTCATCTGTTCCAGGATTTCCCATCATGCATTGCATTGACCTTCTTTCATGCTGCGTTGACCTTTTCAGTTTCATTTCATTTTCAAAATGATTCTTCTTTCAGGAGCCAATTCAGTTTCCACATTCAAAAGTAAGTTCCCACTTCTTGCATTTTCTCTCTCCTGACTGCTCTCTTTTGTCCTTCTGCATTAGTTCTCTCCCCCACCTCCTCCTGATTTTTCATTATCCTGAAACTATGTTGTTAATGTGATGGCTTTTTAAAGAAGGTTTAGTTTAACAAGTATTAATTTCGAAATCCAAAAACAAAACTTGTTCTTTTCCTTTTCTCCTGCAGAGCAATTCAACTCTCAAACTTTGGGCCATCTTCCTTTGCCTCTCAACTTAGATATACCATTTGTGAGGATTTGCATTAGCTTGTGTACCAGGAAACTCCCCTCACTGAGTTGTGCAAAATGGCTGCTATGGCCCCTCAGTCACAAATATTTCCTTATCAGTTCCAGCTGGATGAGTTCCTTAATATTTCTGTCAGAAAGCACCAGGAAAGATTGTGATTGTCCTGACTTGGGCCAGGTGTTCACTCCTAGAATAAAATTTATGGCCAGAAGTGAGATTCACTCTCCTCAGACCTATGTGGCAGTCCCCGCCCCCCACCTCATGGTGATACTATGGTGGTAAATTATCTACCCCAGTCATGGAAGAATGTTCCCTGCCAGGAATAGGACGTCTGGTGCTGAAAGAGATGGGGAAGGGGTCCTGGGCAGACAAGAGTAAACTCCACTTCAGGTACCAGTATTAAGAAAAGGAGTCCCTTGGTCTGAGCCATTCTCCACATTGCTGCCATGTTAGTCTGCGAATACCATTATTCTGAATTTCTTCCATCTTCAAAAACTTCTGAAGACATCCCATGGCCCAGTTGATAAATTTGGGTTGGAGATAGTTCAAAGACAGTACCAAGATTACCTGTGACCTGCCCCCAGGTTTCCTTTAATTTTAGATCCCGTATCTCCCACTGCCCTTTTATAAAGACATTCTCTGGGACATTCTCTCGTTGCTGTGCCATAAGTGTGCTTTGTATAGTCCTGCACCTGCATTGCTATACAAGCCACTGCACCATCAAAGTGCCCCCTCCTTCATTTATGAAATCCTTACTGTTCTATAAGGTACTTCCTAACCTGATCTCTTTTGTGAAACCTCCCGAAATCACCTGCTTTCTATCACCCAGGATAGTATAGACAGAAACAAGCAGGGGAGGACAGTGGCTGTAAACAGAACTTCCTCATCTGAGTGTCAGGGGTATCAGGGAAAATACCTCCTTAGGATGCATCATTTTTTATATTAAAAAAATCAAATCCTTTTATACTTTCTCATCCCATTTAATTTTCACAAAAGAGTGTTGCACTAGATGATTGTAAGGTCCTTGCTAACTCCAAAATGCAACAAGAGAGCCTATAAAACTAAGTTTAAAACTGGCAATTGTATAGCACCTGTGATCGTATGACTTATATAAGAAATATGCATTTGATCTTTGTTCCCATTCCTGACACAGAACTTTGTAATCTCCTAAGGATAAGAAAAGATATGAATGATGAAAATGGTACAGGTAAAAGGTGACTCTTTTGTTATTCATAAGCCCCTTTCAGCCACCCCTGAGTTATGTTAAAAAGTGACTTGGAAAGCCCCTGAGAATGGGGGCTGCCAGGGAAATTAATCATGTGGTTAGAGAGTTGGAACTTTCAGCCCCACCTCCTCACATTCAGGTGGGGGCAAGGCACTGGAGGTTGAATTCATCACTAATAGCCAATACTTTCATCCATCATGTCTGTGTAATGAGGTCTCCATAAAAAACTTAGCCAGAGGGGTGGAAGGAGTCTCCAGGCTGGTGAATGAGAGGTGCCGGGAAGGTGGAAGACATGGAAAGGACATTCATGCCCCTCCCCATGTGCCAATGTATCTCTTCCATCTGACTTTTCCAAGTGTGTGCCTTCTTATAAGAAACTGGTAATCTAGTACATAAACTCTTCCTGAGTTCCGTGAGCTGTTCTAGCAAATTGTGCAATTCAAAAGAGAAATGTGGAATTGCTGTTTTGTAGCCAGTGTGTCAAAAGTACAGAAGGCCCAGGACTTGAGATTGGCCCCCACAGTGTGAATGGTCTTTGGGACTAAGTACTTTACCTGTGAGCTGTAATGCTATCTGCAACTAGATCCTATCAGAGCTGAATTGTGGGGCACCCAGCTGGTGTCACAGATAGGGTCAGTATGGAAAAAAATCTCCCTCTTGTCCACCAGAAGTGGTGTGAATAGTAGAGAGAAAAGGGGAGTTTTCCTTTCAGGACAATATGTAAATTTCCTTTCAGCACTTTAGAAAACACCCACTTCAGAAAACAGAAAGATGGTGTGTCCCTACATCACGTCCTTTCCTTTTTCAAGAGCTGTTTGGCATTTTCTTTTCAGGAAAATATAAATAAACACTTACCTCTCACAGTGCTCATGGCTCCCTTAAAAAAATGAATGGAAGAAGCAGATGGAATGCCAGCTTCTCTGCGTAGTTGGGGAGAACAGAAATAAAGTTCTTTTTTTTAATACATGTCTGTTCTCTCCAGTAGAAGCAATCAAGCTTTAGAACTGCTTTTGTAGTTTACTTTCCAAGAGGGTGGGATGGTCACAAATTCTGCCAAGGAAACAAGAAACAAAGTATAATGGATAATAGTACCAGTTTAGAAATTTGCATGCAAGGTGATTTTTAAATGATAGTTTATTAAGCATAGCATATGAATACATTTCCAAGAAATGGGCTGCACACAAAGGTGTAATGAATAGAATCATCTTCATTTCCAACATTTCATTTTGCAGCTCCATTTACTTGAAATGATCTGATGCAAAAATATATTGTACAACTTATTTCCTTTCATGAATATACTTATATACCATGAGAGAAGATAGGATCATTTTTGTTTGATAGTGGGGAAAAAGTAAGGAAACATACAAGGTAGATTTCAAGCTGAAGTCTGTGTACTGTGCTTTGTTCAGTTGTCAAATGAATGTCATATTATCTTGTGCCAAGGTATTACTACAACTTAAGTGTCAAAAGATGCCTTTAAACTGTCTTCTGGTCTGCCGATCAGATTAGTAAACATTAGCAGCTCCATACGTCATGCATCTTTTTGGCAAACACAGATGAGATTAAGTCTTTTTGTAATCTATATTTAGAGATGCACGCTAGTAGATGAGGTAGAAATACTTTCCTGGTTAGGACATAAAATGGCCCCTGATCAAAATATATAGCTGAAATAACAAAGGCGATTGCAAGGTTGGGGGCAGACAGGATTTCCTTTATTAATTCAAATATCTGTTGGCTGGAGAAGGTCTAAGCACTCATATTTTTCTAACAAATGGTTCTCCTGAAAAGGCTTGAGAACACCAAAAGAGATACAGCTTTTCTATCAATATGGTAAAGAATGTGCTGTAATTTATACTTCAGTCTACCCAACACATACTGCCCGTGTAGTAAGTAAGTAGTAAAGTTATTTAAACTCTCAGTCTCAATTTTCTTAGCTGTAAACTAAGCATTAATCTAGCTACCCATTCATTCATGGACATCTTGTCCCCCTCCCCAGACTGGAAAGTTCTAGGGAGTAAGAACTCTTTCATCTAAATATTTTTCCCTTCCCCAGCTCTTTGTCCTTGTCAACATGGCCACTCTCCTCTTGCTGTAGATGTTCTAGGGCTCAAGTTCTCCTGTGCTGCAGATTACCATCTATATTCTTGATTCCAATTTACTCATGGATGTCAACCTATATTATTAGCCCATTTAATTTTCTGCCACAAAATAGTCTCAGTCTAGCAACATTTTGCTTTTATCTTTAAAGCCTCTATTTGTAATCCCTGTGATTTCCTCAAGTAGCCCCCCCCCACTTACTCATGAGTGTCTTCTGCCTTATTCAGACAAGCTGTCATTCAACCCTACACTGAAATACAAAGGAGTCCTATGCAAGAAGCCACAAACATCCAAGTCGAAGGCTGGAAGCACTGCTTGAGAAGCAAGATGCAGTCTGAGTCATAGGTAATGGCTGGTGTAAAGAAAAGAGCAGAGGAATAATCAGAAAGAGAATGCCAAGTATTGAAAGTAAGAGTCAGAGTGAAAGAGATGCTACCCATTAGAAAATAAATCAAAGTACTTAGAACTAAAGAAAATGATAGTGACACTGAATTTATTGAAATCCTACCATGTATCAGGCACTGTGCTAAGTGTTTTCATGTGTGGTCTCACTTAGTCCTCAAAACATCTCTAAAAGGGTATTATTATCCCCATTTTAGCGATGAGGAAACCATGGCTCATAGTTAAGTAACTTGACCAAGCCACACACATAGCCAGTAAGTGACAAAACCAAGATTCAAACAACTCAAGCTGTCAGATGCAGACCTCAGGCTCTTAACCATTCTTATACACTGTCTTCCAGCTAAAGGAGGGTGGCTAGAAGAATGGAAAAAAAATGATGTTTCCACCCTACTGAAGTTGGAAACTTACACTCTGCATTTTTTGCAGCCTTCTCATCTATCCTAAATAAGTAATTTCTGCTTACACCTTTTTCTTTCTAAAGAGTAAGGTTAAGGGACATCAAGATGCTTCAGATTACAAATAACAATACTGAACAAAAGTACCATAAGTAATAAGGGCTTTATTCTCTTATCTAACCCCTAGAGACATGTCAGTTCAAGAAATTTTAATTGAGTGGCACAGCTTTGCCCGGTGTTTCCACTCTGCCATGTCAGCTTATCAGAGCAGCGGCTCCTCGTGATCTCAAGATGGCTGCAGTACTGCCAGTCATCAAATACAAAGTAAAATATCCAATTAAAAAATGAAGTATTTTTCCCTATTCTTCTCTATATTACAGAGGATATTCTTTACCAGAAGCTTCTTTGAAGACTTCTTGAGTTTGATACCCATGGCCATACCTAGACCCAACACTGGCCAGAAAGATAGGGTAGTTTAGCCCAGTGGTGGTCAGTCCTGGATCTGAAGGACTGACCTTATTGCTAAGCAAAGTACAGACAAAACTGGGAAGAAGAAGATGGGGGTTGGGGGGAGGCAAGGGGTAGGGAAGTTCTACTGAGTAAGCAGAATAAAAAATATATATATATATATATATATATATATATATACTGACTGCCCTGCTGGGGTAGGGGGAAAGGAGATTGCTTAATTTCTACCTATTTTTTCCATAAGGTAAAGTATACAAATCAGTAAAACACACCAGAAAATAAAGAATTTTAGAGAATCACTATGGGAATTATAGCTACAACACAAATGGTCTCCACTCTGTTTATTCAGTAGGTTTATGCAGTTGTGAATTCCTGTGGACTCTTAAAAACAAGGTGCTCTTCAGACCTCCTAAGGTTGCTGTCTTACTCCCAAAGATGTCTCCTTAAGGGGTATCTTTACTAAATTACAGCTGGAGAACACAGAAGTAATAATAAAACAATAATGCCACTGTTGAATCACAATCAGTCTCACCTCCTACCACATTTTTGTCTTGATGAACATATCAAGCAACTCAAGTCTGTCACATTTATCATTTTCAACACACCACAGCTTAGCTGTTACATCACGGCGATTTCTCCTTCGATAGCACATTTTTGTATAAGAGATGCTGGGGAAATTAGTGTCAGGGAGACTTCTAGGCATCTCAGGCTTATTCTGTTTACCAGTGTATTTCCAAGAAGAATTTTTAGTTTGCATGCAAACTGTATGAGAATATGTAATCAACAGGGTTCCCTATTTGGTGGGAAACCAGGCTAGAAACCAAAACTAAATGACCCATGGAAATTTATTTCAGGAGCAGAAGTATTTCTACCCTGAGAGAATCCTTCAAATCAGCAGAATATTAAACTGATGTTAATAAAAACAAAGATGTGAAATCTCCTACTGTCCTCCTCTACATTCAGTTTTAGCCACATGTTCCACTCAGGAGAACCTCCCCCCTAGAGTGGGAGAATAAGCTCCTCGCTCAGGAGACTCCCCCAAAATTGGAAATCATGTAAGAGTTCAGATGAGTCAGGAATGGCGTCAAGTTCTCAATGTTGCACATCCTGTGAAGTGTGAGAGGAGTATGGCCGTCCAGTATGGCAGGCAGGGGTGCATAGAGGAGTCAACGCCTGTGCCCACAATGCAGAGTCTATAAACTGATTGGGACAAATCCTTTTGCCTTCTGCTGAATTCTTTAGCCTTCCTACTATACAGTGTCTTTCCCATATTTTAGGAGAAAAAAAATTTGGAGAGGGAGAGCCCAAAAGCAAATGGATCCGCTAATAAATAAGAAGTTCCAAATGCACCCCTCTTCCTAGCTTCCTCAAACCCCCGCAGGAAGATAATAAAGATCAGTGGAAATTAAGCTATTAACACTGTGAGTTGTCAACTATGGAACGCCTGTGTTGGCTGTGTTCATTGCCATTTTGAACCTCACATTCTCAGAGTGCATTAATGGGATTTTAATGTATTGTTAACTTTATTTTACAGAATTCCTGATTCCTAATTAGAAGCTGCTTTGTAAATACGAAGTTTGTTTTGACCATTCAGTTGCTGTTACCACAGCCAGTAAAACAGTGAGCTCTCTAAGTGGTTCCTCTCTACCCAGGTACTCAAATGGATTTTGAATGTAAAGGGGGATCTGAAACTGATGAAATTCCTTATACAGATTCTGTTCCTTTTCACTACTGCTGGAAGGACTCAGATGAATGAATACTCGCTATTGAGTATCTGTGATACGTTAGGCACTTTGTTGGACACTTTTACCTGCCTTATACTTTAAATCACAATATCCAATATTCATCAAAGCAAAGGAGCCTAGAGAAACTCTATGATTTATTCTATTTCTTTCAGAAAGCAGCAAAGCAGTGTGATGCAAAGCCAGACTTTTCCAACAGAGCTCATGCTTTTCACACTGTATCATATTTTTCCATCAACAAAGACAACAAATGGGGACATGCCAATGAAATAAACAATGTATTTATGTAGAACTGCTATATGCATGGCTCCATGGTGGCGGTGAAGCCAGGCTTTTTGAGCGGGGCAGGTTTCAGATTGGAAGGGAGCAGAGAAGTGATCATGGCTGGAAGAGGAACAGACGGTTGTGCCTGTTACCAGAGTAGGCTAGAGGCCAGCAAAGACCCGCACACAAAGCCTCAGAAGCTCAGCCTCAGTGAGTTTGGGATTCTAGATACCAAGAGACTTCTTAGGGCTTTTGTTTTCCTTTTTCCAGAGCTCTGAATTACATAGCATAGGATTCAACCAATTTACCCAGTCAGTCAACAAATATTGATGAAACAGCTTCTCTGCGCCAGGCATGGAATTAAACACTGGGGATCCAGCAGAAAACAGGACACACATGGTTCTTGCCCCATGGAAATTACATTCTAGAGGGATAGACGGTAAACAAGTAAGCAATGATTTAACGAGGTAATTGTGCTATGAAAGCAATAAATAGGATAATGAATGAGTTAGAAACTGGGAAAGAGGAGAAAGCCTCTCTGATGTGACATATGAGACCTGACGGGCTAAAGGCAGCCAGTCATGCAAACAGAAGGAGCTTTCCAGCACAAGGAACCTCCACCCCACAGGGTCTTGGTAGATGGAGATAGGTGGAAGGGACATAAAGAAACTGGTGTGTGTGGAGTCCAGTGAGCAGGCGAGATGAAGTGTGACATGAAAAGGAGGCAGGAGCCAAAGTTGGGAGTACATTTTAGGTCATGGGTAGGAGTCTGGATTTTGTCCTATGCCTAATTAGAAGCAGAAAAGTGACGTGATCTGATTTGCACTTTAAAAAAGATCCCTCTGGCTGCTGAAAAACAGGCTGGGAGGCAGGATAAGACACAAAAATCATATTCTAAAGCAAGTGTGATCACTTGTAGAAAAAGGAAACCCCTCTGAATAACCTGGACATACAGCAAGGACACTTGTGATCCTACTCTATTTGTCCTTTTCAAGATAACCATCAGTTCATAAATACCTTTTCTGATTTTTTACAAAATACATCAAAGTAGAAAACCACTGAGCCTTCCCTATGTAGGCAAAACACATTAGTTCTTTTCTCCTGTGTTTCTCTCCTGTGTGTCTCCTGCATATTTCACTTCTGATACTTCTGGTCACTAAATGTGTAGGGTTTCTTCCTTGCCCCCAAATGCCCCCCCTCTGCCATTAAGTTCTCCACTCACCGGCTGGGTGTTCTATAATTTAACTCAAGTCTGATACCAACTACCTGGAGATGGTCACCATGTTATCCACAATTCTGTCTGATTTGGCTAGAAATCAGGGGTCCTATGCCCCTCTCTCAGGCTCTATTAAATTCTAGAGTGGCTCGCAGAGCTAGGGGAACGTTTACCTTTTCCTGTAAATTACAGGATATGATAATGATACAGATGAACAGCCAGATGGAGAGAGATGTAAGCCAAAGTCTGGGAGAGTCCTGAGCTCAGGAGCTCCTGACCCTGTGAAATCAGGTACATTGGTTGTGTTTACCAGCCTGGAAACTCTCTGAATCTTGTACTTTGGGGATTTTTTTTGGAGGCTTCATCACATAGGTGTGATCAATCAATTCCATTTTCAGTCTCTTCTCCTCAAATATAGGTGAGGCTGACAATTCCATGCTTCTAATCATGGCGTCGACTTTCCGGTGACCAGCCCCCATCAGGAGCCCACTCATTAGAACAAAAGTCATTTCTATCTTATCCTATGTATATGCTTTTAATATGATTATCTTGTTAAAATTTGTTTTATATAATTTTTGATGGTGGTATACTATTTTAATATATTGGTGTGTTTTTGCAGTAAAATTTTTCACTATTATAAATATACTTTCATTATCTGTTTTGTTGGGGTTTTTTTGCCCCAATACCACTAAGCAATTCTCCAATGAGTGTCCCACAAATTTAACTTAATTCTGACCTGGAGGTAGTATCAGATCCCAAAGGCTAAGGAGTCGGTGCCACAAAACGGTGTCCCTGCCCCAAAAGACTTTTTTTTTTTTTTACCTGTGCTTCTGAACCACTAATTATTAATTATAACTCTCAGTATTCAGAGAAACATTTTTAGGTTGGAAGTTATTATAAAGTGATAAAATTCTGGAACAATTAGATGAAGAGCTATGTAGGGCAATATATGTGGGAAGAGACTTGGGTCCCAG